AAATAGGAATTGCCATTTTTGAGGATACTGCTGAAAAGATACATCATAGATAAAAAAAAATAATATCAATTACCTTACGCTTAGCTGAATAAACTTATTTACTCTCTCTCTAGGTAGCGTAGATTTTATTTTGTATTTATTTAAAATTAATTCTTATAAAATAATTAAAATATTTATATTTAAAAAATATTAGTGTTACCATCCATTAAGCTAGGTTTGGCTAGGTTGGTAACACTAAAAACACTAATTAACATTTATTTTTTATTTACAAAACGTTTCATCAAAATAATTAAAACAAATTAACACACCCAATCAATTAAAAAACAATTGTTATATTAACTCACAATTAAAATGTTATTAAAGGGAGTTTAAAATAAAAAAAAAATCATATTAATCACAGTGACACTGACAGTTTTAAAAGTGAGGTTAGATTTTGACGCCTGCCCAATCACTCGGTGTTTAATTTTTCGTTCTGGGCGGATACTCGACCCTATTTTCAACGTTTTTCACAACGAAATCGAAAAGACACGCGCCCCCTTCGCACAAAACAACCCAGTAAGTAAAAAAGATGGATTAAAACGCACGTTATTCCCGCAAACAATAAGAAAACACAAAAGATGTCACAGTCGGGTTCGAATTTAATGTACGATTCAGACATGCCCGATTCGGAAGGTTCCAGTTCGATAGATACCACGAAAAAGAAATGTTCTATAAGCGGAGAGGTTCGAGTTAAAATGGTTACGGTGAAACACCCGGAAAGTAACAAACCGAAACCCACGGTTAAGAAGAGTAAACAACCAGTCCAAGCCGATTTGGATATAACCAAGGAATTTTTAAGGTGTAAAGAAGAGGGTATTAAGCGGTTAGATTTAAGTAAATCAAATATAACTAATTTACCGGCTTCTGTAAAAGATTTAACGCATTTATCGGAATTGTATTTGTATGGGAATAAATTGGTGTCTTTACCGGCGGAAATTGGTTATTTGGTTAGTTTACAAACGCTAGCTTTAAACGAGAATAGCTTAACTAGTTTACCGGATTCTTTGGTGGGGTTACGTTCGATTCGCGTTTTGGATTTGCGCCATAATAAATTGAACGACATCCCTGATGTAGTTTATAAATTAACATCTTTAACTACATTATTTTTAAGATTTAATCGCATCCGATATGTGGGGGATGAGATCAAAAATTTGACTTGTTTAACCATGCTTAGTTTAAGAGATAATAAAATTAAAGAACTCCCCCCTGGGATTGGCAAATTAATAAATTTAATTACTTTTGATGTATCTCATAATCATTTGGAGCATTTACCTGTTGAAATTGGGCATTGTATTAATTTATCGACGTTGGATTTGCAGCATAATGAGTTATTGGATGTTCCTGATAGTATTGGGGAGTTGCAATTTTTGACTCGATTGGGGTTAAGATATAATCGGTTAAGTTATGTTCCACCCACTTTGTCTAATTGTAAGAGGATGGAGGATTTTAACGTTGAGGGGAATGCGATTTCGCAACTTCCTGAGGGGTTACTTTCGAGTTTATCGGCGTTGAGAGGGATTACTTTGTCGCGGAATAATTTTACTGCTTATCCATCCGGGGGGCCGGCCCAATTCACGAATGTTGACTCGATCAATTTGGAACATAATCAAATCGATAAGATACCTTACGGGATTTTTTCGCGCGCTAAAACTTTAACCAAGTTAAATATGAAGGAGAATCAATTAACCTCGTTGCCTTTGGATATAGGGACGTGGGTTAATATGGTCGAGTTGAACTTGGGGACGAATCAACTGAGTAAATTGCCTGATGATATACAATGTTTGCAAAGTTTGGAGGTTTTGATTCTTTCGAATAATTTGTTGAGGCGGGTTCCTCCGAGTATTGGGAATTTGAGGAAGCTTCGCGTGCTCGATTTGGAGGAGAATCGCTTGGAGACACTGCCGAATGATATTGGGTGTCTGCACGAATTAAAAAAATTAATCGTGCAATCGAATCAATTGACGTCGTTGCCGCGGGCAATCGGGCATTTATCGAGTTTGATCTTTTTAAGCGCCGGGGAAAATAATTTGGGGTATTTACCCGAAGAAATCGGGACGTTGGAAAACTTAGAGTCGCTCTACATCAACGACAACCCCTCATTACACAATTTACCATTCGAATTAGCACTGTGTTCGAACCTCCAAATAATGAGCATCGAAAATTGTCCTTTATCCCAAATTCCCGGGGAAATCGTAGCGGGGGGGCCCTCATTAGTTATTCAGTATTTAAAAATGCAAGGTCCTTATCGTGCCATGTGATGTAACGAGTAATGTTTTTGTTTAAATTGTAAATTTTAAGTATTATTTTTTATGGTTCACTTAATAGCTCTCTCAATCGCCAAAAAAAAATTATTAAAAAATTAATTTGTTATAAAAACTCACAAATATACGCACAAAACCCATCCTGTTAAAAAAAATTATTAATTAAGTCTAGTCTCTGTTTCAAGCTGTCCAAATTTGAAAAAAATAACAAAAAATTGTATTAAAAAAAAAATGTGTCATATGTATAGTTAAAAAATTAAAGAGAAATTAGATTAAGATTTAAAAGAAATTAATCGAATTTCTTCGTTAATATTAACGTCTTAAGAAGTCTTTCAAATTAATCTAAAAAGAAAAATTGAATAAAAATTAAAAATAGATTAAAATCGAAATGTAAATAATAAATTTAATAAAATCTATTACTCAAAAGAAATTAATTTTAAGAAATTATGTTATTTTGATTGAAACGAAACGATTGGAACAAAGAATTATGATTAATTATCGATTAAACTGGCTGATTATGTTTTTTTTATAAAAATAACGAATTTGTTAATTATACACCTTATTATTGTCCCCGAACCGTTTGTACTTGTATTTATATAAATGAATAAATTATGGAAAATATATATTGGAGAAATTATCGATTAAATTAACGCGGATAAGAAGAAGAAAAAGAGTTAATGATAAAATAAAAATTGTTAGTCGCTGTAAGCCATGTCATAAATAAATATTTCGTCATAAATCGTGTTTTATTTAATTTATTTTTATGTTTTTAAAAAATGTATTTCTTAGAAATTTGTTTATTAACATATATGTTATCATCAGGGCACGGAACTTTTGTAACAAAACGATACGATTTCCCCCCTCCACTCGTTCTCAGTGGCGTCCGCTGAGAAAATCTTGAACAGCATACTGTTCAGTGGGAAATTAAAATTTCAAGTTAGCAAAAAATTGTATTAACAAACACTGTTCCTGAAATAATTCTTAACAAATTTTGTTAACAACATTTTTTGATTAAATCAACAATAAGGATATAACCTCAAAAATGTTAATTTTTGTGGCATACTGTTCAGTGGGAAATTAAAATTGCAAGTCAGAAACAAATTGTGTTAACAAAAATTGTTCCTGAAACAATTCTAAACAAACTTTGTCGACAATTTTTTTTGATTTAAACAATAATTAAGGAGATAACCTCAAAATAATAATTTTTCCGTTTTTATACATAATTATACTTAGATGCTTAATTAATAGAGATATAAAATTTTTTTATTAAGATAATTGATTCAAAATCGAAATTGAAACAAATTTTATTTAAAACAATAATTAGCGAGATAATTAATTTTGATAGCATACTATTCAGAGGGAAATTAAAATTTTATTAACAAACACTGTTTCTGAAGTAATTCTAAACAAATATTGTTAATAAAAATTTTTGATTTGATCAATAATTAAGAACATAACATCAAAGAAAAATTTTATATATCTATTTTTATATATTTTTTATTGAGAAAATTGTTTTAGAATTTAATTTAGAACAACTTTTGTATGAAATTTTCTGCTGAGAACGAGTGGAGGGGGGAAATCGTATCGTTTTGTTACAAAAGATCCGTGCCCTAGTTATCATATATCATTTTAAAGAGGATGTTTTATCTTTAATTTAAGATATAAATCGTTTCTTAATTCCAATAAATAAAGTTCTAATGATTATTCAAAGTTGATACGTAATCAACTCCACCATTAATTATTTAACATTACATCATATTTTAAAAAAATCTATTTCTTAGAAATTTGATTATTAACATATATGTTATCATATATCATTTTAAAAAGGATGTTTTATACTTTAATTTAAGATATAAATCGTTTCTCAATTTCCAGAAATAAGCTTCATGTGATTATTCAAAGTTGACGCTTAAACAACCCAAACATTAATTATTCAACATCACATCATATTGAAAAAAAATGTATTTCTTAGAAATTTGGTTATTAACATATATGTTATCATATATCATTTTAAAGAGAATGTTTTAATCTTTAGTTTAAGATATAAATCATTTCTTAGTTCCGAGAAATAAGCTTCAAATGATTATTCAAAGTTGCCAATCAACTCCACCATTAATTGTTTAATATTACATCATATTTAAAAAAACGGGATTTCTTAGAAATTTGAATATTAAGATATAGGTTCTCATACATCATTTTAAAGAGTATGTTTTAACCTTTAATTTAAGATATAAATCGTTTCTTAATTCCCAGAAATAAGCTTCAAGTAATTATTCAAAGTTGACGCTTAAACAACCCAAACATTAATTATTTAACAATACATCATATTTTAAAAAAATGTATTTTTTAGAAAATTGGTTATTAACATATATGACTTGGGATTTGATCTGTGCAAATTTTGAACGTTATCGCCAAGTGGTCGGAGCATAGGTCACCTACAAGACTTATGTCTTTTACAATTTCCATAATATTTTCAGTGTGGATTAATATATTTGGGGTTGTGTCGTTGTTTGCCGGCATCAGGAATGTAGGTCTGTATGTCTTTTTTGGAAATAAGAGTTGTCTAAGAACGATTGCAATTGTTTGCGTTTAGATGGGTTAAGGTTGAAATCGCCTATTATTATGACGTATTTGTATTGTGCTGCTTTAGAAAAAATGTTCTTTTCAAGAGGCTGATGTGGGTGGATGTACACAAGAAAGATGAGGATTTGTTCTTTATCGAAAGGGATGGTGACATGGAGACAATTATTGAGAGGTCTGTTAATCGATGGCGGGTTTGCTTTACCTAGAAGTATTGTTGGCTTTAGCAATATGAGGGATCCACCTCTTGTCTTATTGGTTATGTAACCTTGTTTTTGAATTCTTTGCCAGTCTCTGTATTTAATATGTTGTTCTGCATTTGTTTTAGTTTCTACAAATAGCATCATGTCTATGTCATTTTTTGTATATAGTTGTAAATTAGGGGTTCTTATGTACCCAGGTTCTCTTGGTTCTGTCTCTGCTATTTCCATCGTATTTTAAATGTCGCGGATTGATTCGGCTGTAAGAACGGCATTTGAATTAGTGTCTTCCATCTCTGGAGATGTTAAAGTGATGTTGCTCTGTTGTTCGTGAGAGGGAAATGTTGCTGGTTTTGCGTCATTATCTAGGCGATCCAGCATTACTATATAAGCACGGTTGCCAGATATATTGACAAAAGTATCTATCTGGAATTGGTCAGCAAAACGAGCTCTTAGTTTTTGTATTAGTTCATTTCTGTTTTGATTTTCTGCTTTATTCAATTCGTATATGTATGTGTCAATTATGTAGTCATGGATTGACATCGGTTTATGAATTCTTGAAGTTTTGATTAATTTTTCATTGATTTCCTCAGTTTTTCTGTTAGCGGATTTTATCTTAATTGTGGGCGGCCCTTCGATGGGTTTAAGAGGGCGTTTTTTTGCATTTAAGAGACCATGCCTGGTGTCCTAGTTCCCCGCAGGCTAAGCATGATACAGGGAGGTCTGTAGTGCAGTTGGTAGTTTTGTAATTTCTTTGCATTTACCACATCGCTGTGTTTCTTTGCAAGCATCGGTGGTGTGCGTGAAATTTGTACACTTCCCGCACGAGATGGGAGCTGGTGGTAGTGCGTTGCTTTCGATTGTTTTCTAATGTTTGTGTCTATAGTATAAACCTTCTTGTACAAGTTTTTGGAAAGCGTTGACTTCATCTGTTATGATTCTTATTTTTCTCGTTGGATTGTCGGTGGCGCGTGATATTATTCGTTTACAATATCTATGAAAGATAAGTTTGTCATCGAGGAAGTTACTAATATCTTCATCTAGAATATCTAGTTCCACATCGCATATGATTACGGGAAATGAGTTGGATTTGTTATTTAGTGTATTTTTTGTTGTTGGTCTTGGTTTACTTTCTATAAAATCGTCGATAATTTGTTTTTCTTTTAATATGTTTAGTAATTTATATACTGTGTTTTTGTTTTCTTTTGGTTTAATTAGAAAACCCTGTTTGGTTTCGCTAATTATATCATTATGGACTATATTATTTGTAAATTAAATTTCGCTCCGGTGGAGAGAGAACTGGCTTCTTGTTAAAGTTTTTGATTTTGGAGTAATTTCAAAAATCGTTGTGAATTCTTTGTTTAATTGTTTTATTTTGTCATTAAATGAGTAAGTAATATGTTTATTTGTATTTTCATTTACGTTTTGTGTGTTATTTGTTGAATTATTACCTGGTTTTATAAAATCCAGTTTTTATGGTTTTCTGAATAACTCGCTTTACCTTTGAGATGACGTCCCTGGAACGCCATGTTGCAGATTTTTCGTAGGTGTTGTTTTCAGATCAGGTCTTTTAGTTTGTGTTGATGTAGTTCCTCGTTTGGGTCGTCCACGTTTCCAGCCTCTACCCGCGGAAGAGTATGACCTCTTCGTGTCACTCATTACGTGAGTAATTTAAATAATTAACTTCTTAAAACTTAGAACTTTTTAATAAAACACGTCCGTATGGGGTCAATTCCAATATCGGTCTGCACAACTCCACCATTAATTATTTAATATTACATCATATTTTTAAAAAATATGAAAATATGTTATCATATATCATTTAAAGAGGACGTTTTAAGCATTAATTTGATATATAAATCGTTTTTTAATTCCCAGAAATAAACTTCAAGTCATTATACAAAGTTGACATTTAATCAACTCACCATTAATTATTTAATATTACATCATATTTTAAAAAACTGGATTTCTTAGAAATTTGAAGATATAGTTGTAGGAATCCATGTTGCAAGTTTACTGGAAATATATGAAGGAAATTATTTTATATAAAACTTCTTACTTGCTTGGATTTAAATATTTATTGGTACCGGTTTCGACTTTTAAGTCATCATCAGCCAAAATCTAATAATAAGTGGAATAATAAGCGGTTTATTTAAAAGTAAGCGGAAATAAAAACTCATCACATCAAATAAACTAAATTAACAAATCGTTATAAAAATATAACTTACGTCAAAATTTGAAGAAAATGTTAAGTTTGCAAATATAGAAATAGCACATATGATTAAAAAGTGAATACAACAATAATAAATAATATTAAAAACAGTCAAAATAAATATGTCTATATATTAAGATTAAAACATATTCTTTGCAAAGTTTGGAGATTTTGATTCTTTCGAATAATTTGTTGAGGCGGGTTCCTCCGAGTATTGGGAATTTGAGGAAGCTTCGCGTGCTCGATTTGGAGGAGAATCGCTTGGAGACGCTGCCGAATGATATTGGGTGTCTGCACGAATTAAAAAAATTAATCGTGCAATCGAATCAATTGACGTCGTTGCCGCGGGCAATCGGGCATTTATCGAGTTTGATCTTTTTAAGCGCCGGGGAAAATAATTTGGGGTATTTACCCGAAGAAATCGGGACGTTGGAAAACTTAGAGTCGCTCTACATCAACGACAACCCCTCATTACACAATTTACCATTCGAATTAGCACTGTGTTCGAACCTCCAAATAATGAGCATCGAAAATTGTCCTTTATCCCAAATTCCCGGGGAAATCGTAGCGGGGGGGCCCTCATTAGTTATTCAGTATTTAAAAATGCAAGGTCCTTATCGTGCCATGTGATGTAACGAGTAATGTTTTTGTTTAAATTGTAAATTTTAAGTATTATTTTTTATGGTTCACTTAATAGCTCTCTCAATCGCCAAAAAAAAATTATTAAAAAATTAATTTGTTATAAAAACTCANAAAACACTGACATTTAAACGTCAAAAATATTTCTGACAAAGATTGCAAAGGCTACTAAAATTTTTTCATTAAAAATTCATACCAACTTTTGATCGACAACTCTGTTGTTGAACAAGCTGTGTTTACTTTATTATTTTTTTTCTCAAAAATTAGTCGTTTTTGGAAAAATTTTAGAGAGACAAAAATGTTTCATCTACCTATGTAAAAATTTTTTTAATGCATTTATCATCTGCATAAAAAAATGTTAGCAAAAATGTAAAGGGGGTGGTTACGTTTAGTAGTTTAGAAGGATAGGTTGAAAGTACAAATAGGGTGAAAATGTGCCCTACTACGAATGAAACATATTCCCCAAATTTCGTCTTCCTAGCATTTATGGTTTTTGAGAAAAAAAATTAAACCACAAGACCTAAAGAATCATCCCCTGAAGTTTGGGCATGTCATTCAGATACACCCTGTATACTGTTATTTTATAATTAATCTAAGCGGAAAGACCCTGTAACGGTCGATAGTTGAATAAAGTAATTTTATCTCTCTCTAGGTAGCGTAAATTTTATTTTGTATTTATTTAAAATTAATTCTTATAAATTAATTAAAATATTTGTATTTAAAAAGAATAAGTGTTACCAACCATTAAACTAGGTTGGTAATACTAAAAACACTAATTAATATTTATTTTTTATTTACAAAACATTTCATCAAAATAATTAAAACAAATTAACACACCAAATCAATTAAAAAACAATTTTTATATTAACTCACAATTAAAATGTTATTAACGGGAGTTTAAAATAAAAAAAAATCATATTAATCACAGTGACACTGACAGTTTTAAAAGTGAGGTTAGATTTTGACGCCTGCCCAATCACTCGGTGTTTAATTTTTCGTTCTGGGCGGATACTCGACCCTATTTTCAACGTTTTTCACAACGAAATCGAAAAGACACGCGCCCCCTTCGCACAAAACAACCCAGTAAGTAAAAAAAGATGGATTAAAACGCACGTTATTCCCGCAAACAATAAGAAAACACAAAAGATGTCACAGTCGGGTTCGAATTTAATGTACGATTCAGACATGCCCGATTCGGAAGGTTCCAGTTCGATAGATACCACGAAAAAGAAATGTTCTATAAGCGGAGAGGTTCGAGTTAAAATGGTTACGGTGAAACACCCGGAAAGTAACAAACCAAAACCCACGGTTAAGAAGAGTAAACAACCGGTCCAAGCCGATTTGGATATAACCAAGGAATTTTTAAGGTGTAAAGAAGAGGGTATTAAGCGGTTAGATTTAAGTAAATCAAATATAACTAATTTACCGGCTTCTGTAAAAGATTTAACGCATTTATCGGAATTGTATTTGTATGGGAATAAATTGGTGTCTTTACCGGCGGAAATTGGTTATTTGGTTAGTTTACAAACGCTAGCTTTAAACGAGAATAGCTTAACTAGTTTACCGGATTCTTTGGTGGGGTTACGTTCGATTCGCGTTTTGGATTTGCGCCATAATAAATTGAACGACATCCCTGATGTAGTTTATAAATTAACATCTTTAACTACATTATTTTTAAGATTTAATCGCATCCGATATGTGGGGGATGAGATCAAAAATTTGACTTGTTTAACCATGCTTAGTTTAAGAGATAATAAAATTAAAGAACTCCCCCCTGGGATTGGCAAATTAATAAATTTAATTACTTTCGATGTATCTCATAATCATTTGGAGCATTTACCTGTTGAAATTGGGCATTGTATTAATTTATCGACGTTGGATTTGCAGCATAATGAGTTATTGGATGTTCCTGATAGTATTGGGGAGTTGCAATTTTTGACTCGATTGGGGTTAAGATATAATCGGTTAAGTTATGTTCCACCCACTTTGTCTAATTGTAAGAGGATGGAGGATTTTAACGTTGAGGGGAATGCGATTTCGCAACTTCCTGAGGGGTTACTTTCGAGTTTATCGGCGTTGAGAGGGATTACTTTGTCGCGGAATAATTTTACTGCTTATCCATCCGGGGGGCCGGCCCAATTCACGAATGTTGACTCGATCAATTTGGAACATAATCAAATCGATAAGATACCTTACGGGATTTTTTCGCGCGCTAAAACTTTAACCAAGTTAAATATGAAGGAGAATCAATTGACCTCGTTGCCTTTGGATATAGGGACGTGGGTTAATATGGTCGAGTTGAACTTGGGGACGAATCAACTGAGTAAATTGCCTGATGATATACAATGTTTGCAAAGTTTGGAGGTTTTGATTCTTTCGAATAATTTGTTGAGGCGGGTTCCTCCGAGTATTGGGAATTTGAGGAAGCTTCGCGTGCTCGATTTGGAGGAGAATCGCTTGGAGACACTGCCGAATGATATTGGGTGTCTGCACGAATTAAAAAAATTAATCGTGCAATCGAATCAATTGACGTCGTTGCCGCGGGCAATCGGGCATTTATCGAGTTTGATCTTTTTAAGCGCCGGGGAAAATAATTTGGGGTATTTACCCGAAGAAATCGGGACGTTGGAAAACTTAGAGTCGCTCTACATCAACGACAACCCCTCATTACACAATTTACCATTCGAATTAGCACTGTGTTCGAACCTCCAAATAATGAGCATCGAAAATTGTCCTTTATCCCAAATTCCCGGGGAAATCGTAGCGGGGGGGCCCTCATTAGTTATTCAGTATTTAAAAATGCAAGGTCCTTATCGTGCCATGTGATGTAACGAGTAATGTTTTTGTTTAAATTGTAAATTTTAAGTATTATTTTTTATGGTTCACTTAATAGCTCTCTCAATCGCCAAAAAAAAATTATTAAAAAATTAATTTGTTATAAAAACTCACAAATATACGCACAAAACCCATCCTGTTAAAAAAAATTATTAATTAAGTCTAGTCTCTGTTTCAAGCTGTCCAAATTTGAAAAAAATAACAAAAAATTGTATTAAAAAAAAAATGTGTCATATGTATAGTTAAAAAATTAAAGAGAAATTAGATTAAGATTTAAAAGAAATTAATCGAATTTCTTCGTTAATATTAACGTCTTAAGAAGTCTTTCAAATTAATCTAAAAAGAAAAATTGAATAAAAATTAAAAATAGATTAAAATCGAAATGTAAATAATAAATTTAATAAAATCTATTACTCAAAAGAAATTAATTTTAAGAAATTATGTTATTTTGATTGAAACGAAACGATTGGAACAAAGAATTATGATTAATTATCGATTAAACTGGCTGATTATGTTTTTTTTATAAAAATAACGAATTTGTTAATTATACACCTTATTATTGTCCCCGAACCGTTTGTACTTGTATTTATATAAATGAATAAATTATGGAAAATATATATTGGAGAAATTATCGATTAAATTAACGCGGATAAGATGAAGAAAAAGAGTTAATGATAAAATAAAAATTGTTAGTCGCTGTAAGCCATGTCATAAATAAATATTTCGTCATAAATCGTGTTTTATTTACTTTATTTTTATGTTTTTAAAAAATATATTTCTTAGAAATTTGATTATTAACATATATGTTATCATATATCACTTTAAAGAGGATGCTTTAATCTGTAATTTAAGATAATAATAATAATATTTATTGATAGGTAATAAACGAAATACATAAGTACTTACATAGCAATATATGAAGAAAATACAACTCCAATCAAAAAGAGTCATGTCAGAGCGACCAAAGAAAATCCGAGGTCGTCCTGTTTTTCAATGACCCATCGAAAAATACAACAAATAATAATAATAATAATCACAACAATATAACAACTATATGATTCAAGTCATAATAATATTTAAATAAATTTTAAATGAATTTTACATGCGCAAAGTTTACTGTCTTAATCGTATACAAAAAAGAAAAAAAAGAGAAAAAGAACTTGAAAAATCTTTCCATTGTTCACTCACCCACCCAAAAGCTCCTTAACCATGCCCTTAAAGGAAAGCAGACCAAGATTCTTAATCAGGTAACCGATTGTACATGTTAGGCGCACAATAAGAGAAATTTCGTTTAAACATTTCTAGGCGGTGAAGAGGTATCGTCAAGGCATGCCTATGCCTTGACGATACCTTAATGTGGTGAACATCCGTACGAAATTTAATTTTATTGTACAAATAAGGAGGTCTTTTATGCAAGATAATTTTATGGTAGAGACACGAGCAGTGAAGAGTTCTACGTCGTGACATATATAGCCATCCAGCCCACATTAGTGCGTGTGATATGCGCTCTTTCTACGGATACGGAATTACTACGGAATTTAAAATCCTTTTACTTTGAACCTATAACTGTCTTCGAATTAATTGAAGTTGTGAACAAAATGAATGGCTTGAACACCAATATTCTAAAGAAAATCATTCAACAGTGTGTGGAACCACTAACGTTTCTCCTCAATCAATGTGCGTCTGAAGGTGTTTTTCCCGAAGAAATGAAAATAGCGAAGGTTCTACCAGTCCACAAGAAAGGTGATGTTAACGACTGTGAAAATTATAGGCCGATTTCGATTCTGCCAGTTCTCTCAAAGGTCTTTGAAAAGTTAATTTTAAACAGATTAGTAAGATATTTAAACCGCAATGATTTTTTAAATAATAACCAACATGGTTATCGTGAAAATAGATCCACAATTTCTGGGATTATGAAGGTAATGGAATTTGTATTGAATGGTTTGGATGAGCAGCAGCTGGTGCAAATCAANATTTAACATTAATTCATATTTAAAAAAAATGTATTTCTTAGAAATTTGATTATTAACATATATGTTATCATATATCATTTTAAAGAGGATGCTTTAAGCTTTAATTTAACATATAGACCGTTTTTTAATTCCCAGAAAGAAACTTCAAGTTATTATTCAAAATTGACACTTAATCAACTCCACCATTACTTATTTAATACATCATATTTAAAAAAAATGTATTTTTTAGAAAATTGGTTATTAACATATATTTTATCATATATCATTTTAAAGAGGATGCTTTAAGCTTTAATTTAATATATAGACAGTTTTTTAATTCCCAGAAATAAACTTCAAGTGATTATTCAAAGTTGACACTTAAACAACTCCACCAGAGAGAGAGAAAATAACTTTATGCAGCTATCGACCGTTATAGGGTCTTTCCGCTTACATTAATTATAAAATAACAATATTTGTATGTTTGTCATTTGATGTTGAGTTCTTCGTATGATGTTTTAGGTCTTTCTTCGTTTGTTCGAGTCTTGCACATCTGTTGTAGGGTATCTTGCTCGGCATTTTTGGAGAACTTTTCTTTCAGTATATTATGCCTCACTGAGATTGGTTTTAATTCCGTTCTTGAATATAGATCCTCATTGTTTATGTTGTGGAGTGGATTGTTCGGATGTCTAATTTTTGTCAGAATTCGTAAACATTTTGTTTCTGCTTTCCTGATTACTTACTTTGTTGACTCCGGGGAACATATAGTTATGAGATGTCCATAATCGAGGAGTGGTCGTCATATACTTTTATAAATTTGTGTCGCCGATTTTACAGAAATACTCCTGTCTTTGTAGGTCAATGATCTAAAATATTTTGCTCGTCTTGTTACCTCTGTTTGTATTTTTTTGTAGTGTGCTTTGAATTTCAACTTGTTATGCATGTTATGCATAACTACTGGTTATGCCCAAATATTTGACCAAGTTTGTAGGTTTTGTAATTGATGTGCTGGACTGTGGGATCAATAGTTGGAATTTCTCCGGATTGGGGGTGATTCTCCATTTGTGGAACCATGATGATATGTTGTTGTATAGCTTCTGGAGTGATTCTATTGCTATTTAAAGGCTTTTTTCATGCGATATTAGTGTTGTGTCATCTGCATATTGAAGTATGTAGCTATCCGGATCAATATAGTTTGTGTCTAGATGGGTTGAAGGGTATATATCATAGCAGTAGACGTTGTACAGGGTTGGTGAGATTAGGGATCCTTGAGGTACTCCTTGGAGAGGGGTAAAAGGGAAGAATGTAGCATTATTGATTTTGATGCTCAGTCTCCTGTCGCGAAAATATTCATCTATAATTTAAAGGTAGGGTGTACGTATTCCTAATTTATCCATCTTGTATAGAAGGTCCTGGTGCCAGACTATGTGGAAGGCTTTATTTATGTCAAGAAATAAGATCGCGGTTTTTCGGTGATGTAGGTTCGTTACTTGTATGTTATTTATGAGAATAATGAGTGGATGAATTGTTGATTGTTTCTGTTTGAAGCCGAAATGGTATATAGGGATTTTGTCTTTGATAACGTGAAGAATTCTGGAGTTAAGGATACTTTCGTAGATTTTTTCTAATTACAGACAGTAGGGTGATAGGGCGGTAGCTTTGTAGAAGAGAATGGTTTGCTCCAGGTTTGGGGATTGTTATAATTGTAGCTGTTTTCCATGTTGATGATCCATGAAATTGAAAATTTTACAGATTAAGTTATGTACTTCTAGGTTTAGTTGTCTCAGTAGCTTTTTGGTTATTAAATCCAATCCGGGGCATGAACTTTTGCCTTTTGATAGGTGTTCATCATATTATTCTTGAGTTATTTCTAGTATTCTGTTATGCGAGTGGGTTGGCATAGTTAGAAATCTTGTGTACCATTCGTTAATATATTCTTGGTGATGATTGTCGCAATCGTGGTTTGGTTTGGGGTGAACGCACTTTGAAAGTGGTGGGCAAGTATATCGTATTTCTGTTGATCTGTTCTATATTCTATATTGTTGTACGTTATTGTCGGAATGTCGCTGGTCTTCTTGTATATTGCCCCTTTCTTGATTTTCTGCCAATGTGTTCTGCCGCGATCAGTTTCTATTTCTTTGCATGTTTCTAGCCAACGATCCAGTTGGTATTTTTGGATTAATATTTGAGTTGTTTTCTCTGTTTAGGTCATTTTTTAGTATTCTGTTGTTGTTCGTTTATATTCTCTTGTGAATTATTTTGAGTATGTAGTTGGGGAGTGTATATATATATGGAGAGTATCTTGTTTTCGGTGAGTGGTGTATTATAGCTTGTATAAGGGAGTTGCGAAAATCTTGTATGAAGTTCTCGTTCGTTTGTGTTGTTCTGGATTTGTTTATAAAGGTTGTCACGTCTTCATTTACTTTTAGTAAGCACGCCCTGGTTTCTATGGCAATATATTTTTATATATTGCATTTGAAGTGAAATTCACTGTATTGCTGTTTATAAATGTATATAAAGATGAAGTTACTTGAATTTTGGATCTGATTGGTTTCTTTTTCATTATTCATAGGGGGCGTAGCTCAGATGGTAGAGCGCTCGCTTAGCATGCGAGAGGTACCGGGATCGATGCCTGGCGCCTCCAACAACTTTTTACTTGTTGGCTCTCTGCTCATTGCCACAAGAAATCCAAAGAGGCCACCAACCTCTTCCCCTCCTCACTCCTCTCCTTCACCAAGTATTTTGGAACCACTTCCGTCATTATGTCTCCATATCTCTCATTGTACCATTCCTCCCTTATCTGCACCCTTCTCTTCTGTTTCTGGACGTCCCTATCTCTGTCGCTTAACTTTGCCCACGTCTCCTTCTATTATTTATCTCTGCCTCCAAATATAATACTGTAATATTCCCTCCTCTCTCCGTTACCATATCTAATCTTCCCCTTCCTAACTTCCTTGCAACATTCCCCCAAGATCCTGTAGTATGGTCTTCTGTCTACCATAATCATCATAATCATAATCTTTATTGTGCTATAAGATAGTTCTTTTACACTCGTCAGTTCAATTTACAGGTTCACATTTACTTACTAAGAAATATCAATATTACGAAATATTAAGAAATGTGTCAGTTTACGTTTCATGGTAAGAAACGGAAGACTTTTGACATTCAATGGCAACTTATTAAATAGCTTTTGACACATGTATGTTGGACCCCGCTGCGTCATATTCAATCTACACATATCAACATACACATTACAACGATTACGAGTTGCGTATTTGTGAACATCAGCATGATTTAAAAGCTCGTCGAAATTGTTCAGAGCATACAATATACAATTTAGTATGTAAATAGATGGCAGGGTTGGAACGCCTAAACGCACGAAGATGTGTCGTCAGTCCTCACTGTATCCCAGGCCTCCTACAACTCTTAGAGCCCTACGCTGTAAGTTAAAAACCCGTTTGCTAGCGGGAGTGTTTCCCCACGCTAAAATGGCATAAGAAATATGGCTTTGTATAAGCGCGAAGTAAGCGGTTTTCACTACTTCTAGTTCCACCGAGATCTAGAACCAATTCTGCTCTTTGAATGACCTCTTCAGCTTCATTGCTTCGGATAATCAAAGTGGCATCGTCAGCATATAATAAACAGTCAATTTCCTAAAATAATACGGAAAGTCATTGAAAAACATCAAAAATAAAAGAGGTCCAAGGATAGAACCCTGTAGAACACCCCTAGTCAAAGTGACTTTCTCCGATGTCACTTGACCACAAGTCACCTGTTGCGTTCT